GTCTTCCTTACAATGTTGTAAAATGTAATTTGTTTTTTTTTTCTTTAAACATAACCAATGTACCTATCATTTTCTTATCCAAAATAACAACATTCTTATATTTCTTTACAGTAATCATACCCAACTGAAAGCTATAGGACTACTCACAACATATTTTCCTCCGGACCACTTTAGATGACCAAATCCAGTAGACCCCGATTGCATGGAACTAGCTGTAAATGTAACAGTATACACCTTTTTCTCACCTTGCTTCGTGAAAATTAGCTCTTCTGGGTCAACCGTAATCTTGACTGCCGCCACCTTTGACCATACGGAAACCTTATAAGTCGCCGGAGTCCCCACGTTTTTCAGAGTCCTGGTGTACTTAACGGTGGTCGGACCACCCCCGACACCACCACCTTCGCCGGAATCCGTCAGCAAAGGAACCGCAAAAGACGGGTAGTTAAGATCTTCCACCCTGAATTTCTTTCTACATGTGAAACTTCCACCTCCAAACATTTTAATGGCATTTGAACTATAATTCAAAGCACAAAGAAAGCCCAAATAGTCGTTAGGTGAGGCGTCATAGACCAGACCAGGGTCCATGGCTCGAACCGGGTCTACATGGCCCGAACCATGGTCAAACGGGGTCGATGGGTTTCCGGTTGCAATATCCTTCAGCCCTTCACCGTTTTTGTATGCGCTGTAAGCTGTGGTCATAAGCGCTGATTTTATTTCTGCTGGTGTCCATGCAGGGTGAGCCGCTTTCAGTAAAGCGGCTAACCCGCTTACGTGGGGACACGACATCGATGTCCCGGACACGATGTTGTATTCGACACGTCGCGTGTCTTCTGTTAAGCCGGTTGGACCGGTTTTACCGGTCCAACCGGCTAGAATATTCACCCCTGGTGCGATGAAATCTGGTTTTAGGATTTCAGGGGTGAGCGGGTTTGGGCCCCGGGAACTGAAAGCTGCGACTACCGGTGATGGTTGGATGTGTAATTCGGTTACCCCCGATGCAATTGTAGCCGTTGGATTATGAGTCGAGAGTATATAGCTTTTTATCGCCTCACCACCTCGGTAACCGATGGCGGCGGTTGGGATCAAGTGGGCGTCAGCCACCAGGTCCTCCCCGAATGTATCGGAGTTCGCCAGAATCATTCCGACACCACCGGCTGCCTTCACCACCATCCCCTTTTGCACCCGCGAATTCCCGCCACGTTCACACATCACAATTTTTCCGGCGGCTTTCCCCCGTGGCAATGTACCCGGGAGACATAAGTTTCCGGTGGTGTTACTGATATTTCCAGCGTAAACGATCGGAACCATGGATTCAGGTAACGGTTTACCACTATAAAGCGACACTCCCCGGAATTTTTTCCCGTTTCCGAGAACAACAAACGCCGGAAATTCACGGTCGAGAGTTCCGGCACCAACCGTCGCTATCCATGGCGCGACATTCGATAATCCAAACGGACCGGGCCCACTATTTCCGGCGGAACATGCTACAAATATCCCACGGGAAACCGTCTTGAACGCGCCATAAGCCACCACGTCATTGGTGTAATCAGCAAGCGAGCCGCCGATCGAAAGTGATAAAACATGGACACGATCCGCAATCGCCTTTTCTATTGCCGCCAATATATCGCTCCCGAAACAACCACCGAGCCAACACGCTTTATAAACCGCCAGTCTGGCATTCGGAGCCATCCCACGAGCCGTCCCTTTCGCGAACCCAAAAAGACTAGCTCCGGTCACCGTCGATCCAGCGGCTGTAGTCGCGGTGTGGGTCCCGTGTCCATCATCATCTATGGCAGATCGCGATTCTATTGTTTCATCAATCGGCCCGTATGTGGCTTCATATGCTCTCGAAAAGAACGTTGCCCCAATCAGTTTCTTATTACAGTTCGATACACCAAAGCTCGTACCATTCTTACACTCGCCTTTCCACCACGCCGGAATCGGGCCGAACCCAGTGTCGTCTAAGCTTTTACTTCCAGGCCAGACGCCGGTGTCCACCACCCCAATCACCACATCACCGCCGGAACCCAGCCCGGAGAACATCGTCTCTCTCCCTGCAAGACCAAGAAACTCCGGCGACCGGGTGGTGTGAAGCTTATACATAACCTCTTCTTTAACCGATAAAACACCGTGTTTTTTCTCGAGTAGTTTCGCTTGTTCAACCGTGAGCCGGGTGGAGAACCCATGGATGACATTTTCATACGTATACAACATTTCCGGCGACTCGGAAACCGATTCCATAGATGTTGCGTACCAGTTCCGGTGGTCGGAATATTCCGGCGGCATCACCACTTTGTCCATGTGAACGATGTACGTTTTCCGTTCCTGGTTGGTGTTTGCCGCCGTGTAGCGGTGGCAAACCACCACCGTCACCACCATCAGTAGGATCACCCTGGGGTTCATTTGGTATGATTTATGAGGGTAAGTGGGGAATGATGGAATTGAAGTGGTGTTGGCTAGTAATATATATATGGGGTATGCATGGGTACGTTGTTGCTATCTAGGATTTGAAGTCATGGGGCCTACGAGAAATGATTTGACTCGTAATCAGTGAGTTTGCTGTTGCTATTTGTTAAAAGTCTCTGGAAAGGAATCTTATTTGTTATTAGTGGGTACCGGTATTTAATACGATGTTAATTGTTCGATCAAATTATTAAACTTGTCGAAAGCAACATAGATACTATGGAAATATAAGGAGTTGTTTATTACGAATTTATGATCTAAGATGAGTCGCTAAGAACTCGTTTGTTGCTCAAGATGACAGATCATGTTGGCCATACCATATACCACATACTGTATTTGATTGAAAACAACTGATATATTGATATCAATGAGACAATTTTTTTTTAAATGTCTGTTATCCTCGTTTAAAATAGCATTATAATTTATTTATAAAGTTTGGTTGTCTCGTGTAACAAACGCAGTGTAAATGTAGAGAATACTTATATGTAGATGTGGTTGTATTTCTTATTGTTTCGTGTCTAATAATTGATGGAAAAGCCAAAAAGGTTCTTGGTGGGTGTCTGTACAACTAATATGTTATCGCTTTAGTAGACGATGAAGGATCACTTTATCGGAGGGAGCACTATCGCAAAAAGCTTTTAACAAGTATTTAAAAGTTGAAATGAGTCGATGGGAATGATTCATCTTCCAATATAAGGTATAAGTAATGCCGATAAATAAAGCAAAAGTCATATCTTTTGATACGTGTCTTAAAGAGACTTGAAAACTATGTAAAAGACTAAAAGGAGAATATTTTATAAACATTAGGTAATAAATGTTTATTACCATAATTTACGAATTTATTCATAATAATGTCCTATTGAGGTTATATATTTTGACACGAACAAAATTTCTTTTTCTTATTTATTTATTTATTTTAATAAAAAATCGACCACAAAGTGTCAATCGCAAGGTCAACTGCTACAACTAATGACTTTGTGATAATCTAGACTTTCGTGATACCCTCTTTTTCTACATGCAACTGATACCGAAATTGAAATTCAAGGGAATTGCAAAATAATAACTATTTGTGAGTGTCAATTTTACTTCTGTTAAAGTTCTAATTAATTGATAATCACGGTAGTCTCAGTTTGAGCGAACCACAAGAATAAAGGAAGATATTAATATTGAAAATTATCAAAATGAATGATATTGACTCAAGATAAAACATCTCATTAAGACACAACATTCAGAAAAAAGAGTATCACCCATGGTGATCAGAAGAAGCTATGTTGTGGACGACCGTTGTCCCTAAGGTGATGGAAGGACATGATCGTATAAATTCTTAAGTAACCAAGGGAATCCAATACATAGAAAATATATTTCCTTTGAGTTGTGATATTATTAGTATGTCCCATTATAGAGGCCCTAGGAGGTTTATTCGTAAGAGAAAACTATTAGCCAAACCGAGTGATTACATAATTATGGGAAAACACAAGTTTGGGATTGAAAAAGTTGTTGGATATGCATCTTTAAAACATGAAATGTTTTGTTTTACTTCAAATTTGAATAAATTTGTTGAACCATGCTTTTGATGATGCTAAAAATGATGAAAATCGGATAAGCCCAATGAATGATGAAATTGAAGCGTTTAATAAAAATGGTACTTGGAAAATTACTGATTTACCTAGTAGTAGAAAACCAATAGGTTACAAGTGTATATAAAATAAATTATAACTACATAGCTATGATTAGTAACCTGTTGAGTTTGGTGTAACTTTGAATACTATGCTAAAGTGAAGAGACTAAAGTGGAAATTATGGAACGTGAATGGGTAAAGTTGGATGAAAGGTGTACGAGGGAGCCGGATGGCTGATTGCATTCTCTTAGAACTAGATGCGGACTTTTTGGAGTATAAATATGTAACGTTGATTAGGTTTTTCTTTTAACTTATCTTCTTGATTAGAGAAAACTCTAAATCGCTCTTGTATCTTACTCTTTCACATCTTGTGATAAAGTTAAGGGACTAAAAGTGATAAAAGCTTTGCATGGGTCGGGTGTTAGCTTTAGGTCGAATGTGATCGTCTTATTTAAAGATTAAATGTGGTAAGAGATTGTTGGTTGGAGTTTTATCTGTATGATAAATGTATCATTTTGTTGTTTACTTTGAAAATACGTGTTGGTGATGGTTCTAATATAATGTTTTGAATGATATTTGCATTGGGACGATATAGAAAGATTCTTAAAAATTTATTTCCTAAATACAAATAAAGATTATCTGGTTATCGATTGAAAGGAAGAGCAAAGTTAGAGTTGGAACCGTTGTCGATTGGTAAATAATGGGCCGGAAGCTATATAGTTCATAGCCGATTTATTGGTGCCTTGTAGATACATGGTGTCGATAAATCCATTAATAAAATAATCCCATAAAGTCATATGATCTTATAAATCGGCTAGGAAGATTGCTTTGGGGCTTGGGCGCCTGGCTACCGGGTAAAAGCCTATCAAAAATGAACTTCGGTGTATGAAATTAGGCTATCTCATAATTTAGCAAAATTTTAGGGAGTTGGTTTTTTCATAGCTTCTTTTTCTTTGGTTGATAGAATGGCTTCAAAGGTAATTTTGGCATTTAATTGGTTAAGAGATTTAGGGATGGATACCGGTTTTTGTGGAGTAAAGTTGGATATGGGTTTTTGTGGTGTAAGGAGAACTGTTTTTGAACATTCGACATTATCTTTTATAACTGCTTTGTATGCTTCGTTGTATGCAGCTTCTGCTTCACTTTTTGTTTTGTAACTTTTGTGAATGACATTTTTTACAAGAATATATGAATTGGCAATTCCCCAATCGTCATAGATTCCTTTGTTTTCGCCGTTGAAAATCACATACCATTTCTTTATGTTTTTATGTTCGGCTTGAAGTGGTGGATATTCTTCTGGACTGGGTGTAATAGGTTGTTTTTTTGTGTGCAGTGGACTATCATCGGATGATATTTCTTGAATTTCTTCTTTTGGTTGCTTTGTTGTTGAGTTGATAGCTGCTTCTTCTTTAGGTGCTGAATAAGATGATAAAATCTGTAATGTTTGTTGTAGTTGTTATTCTTCACGTTTGACTACTTCAAGTTGTCTAATTAATGATATTTTTTGCTTATGCTTCTGTTTGAGTTGATGTTGTATTTGCTTTATGATTGCTTCCATGTCAATATGTCTGTTGTTTGAATATTTGCGCCTCTTTGGTACCTGAATATGCATATTTGTTTGCTTTTAATATTTCAAATGATGATATGAGAATTTTCATATCAATGTATGTTTTTGGTGATATATTCATATCGCTGTATACTTTATTATTGTATGCTTTTGGTGGTATTTTCATACCACTGTATGTTTTTTCAATGTATACGTCGGATGATGTTTTTATACTACTGTATGCTTTTTCATATGGGCAAAGGCTCATTTATAGGCTCAAGAAAGTCGATTACATAAGTGAATTGCAATCATATGATTGCAAAACGACAAACATATTTACAATATAGCTCCTAGATTATTGAGGGTTAGACACATTATATTACATCTTATAATCTTTACGTCATATTCTAGATACTTAATGACACATGACATGTAACCTGGTGAGAACGACAAATACCAACAAATAAGATAATATACAAATTATAAAATACATCATTCCACAACGAAAGAACGCGTTGATGTAATAATGTCTTCAATAATAATGGAAGGATGCGTCATTGCGTACGTGCGTCATTCTTGGTATCACATGTTCATGTTAAGAAAACTTTTGGTATCAAATCATGTTCATGTTAAGAAATTTTTTGGTATCGCAATGATGCATCCCTCCAGTATTATTGAAGACATAATTGCATCCACGCGTCCTTTCGTTGTGGAAGGATGTATTTTATAATTTGTATATTATCTTATTTGTTGGTATTTGTCATTATCGGTAGAACACATATCATGTGTCACTAGGTCACATGTCATGTGTCATTAGATATCTAGAATATGATGTAAAGTTTGTAAGATGTAATATAAAATGTGTAACCATCAATGGTCTAGGGGGCTATATTTTAAATATGCATGTCATCTTGCAATGTACGATTGCAATTCAATTATGTAACCGGCTCTCTTGAACCTATAAATAGGGTATTTGTCCGTATGGAATCAACACAAGTTTTTTTAGTGTCTAAGACTTGAGTTGATCTCAAAGTTCTTTCTCTGTTAAAATAGTTGTTCTATTTCTGAATAGCAGAACCCTCTGTTGAAATAGTTTGACTATTTCTGAATATCAGAGCTCTATCCAACTCATACATACAATTAATCAAAACAACCCATCATTAAGATCATTCCGACGCATCATTCAGGTATAATTCATCATAATTTTTATTAATTCCGTGTTGTCGTAATATCCATGTTTTGGTATCAAAACATGCTCTGATACCAATATTTTCCATAACATGCTCTCATACCAAAATTTTTCCTTAACATGAACATGCTTTGATACTAAAATTACGACAAACACGGAATTAATAAAAATTATGATTGATTAAACCTGAATGATCCGTCAGAATGATCTTGATGATGAATTATGTTGGGTATATGGATGAATGGTTTTGGATACTTTGGATAAATGCTCGGCTATTCAGAAATAGAACAACTATTTCAACAGAGAAAAAACTTTGAGATCAATTCAAGTCTTAAACATTCAAAGAACTCTTGTTTATTCCATACGGGCAAATGCCCTATTTATAGGCTCAAGAGAGCCGGTTAGATAATTGAATTGCAATCGTATGATTGCAAGACAACAAACATATTTACAATATAGCCCCTAGACTATTGAAGGTTACACACTTTATATTATATCTTACAAACTTTATATCATATTCTAGATACCTAATGATACATGACATATAACCTAGCGACACATGATATATGTTCTACCGATAACGAAAAATACCAACAAATAAAATAATATACGAATTATAAAATACAACCTTCCACAACGAAAAGCCGGGCCGGGCCCACATGCGAAGAAATGGGTGTTGAACTTGGATATTGAGAAAGATTTTTTTAATTAGCTATACTCGATTTCATATTGATGATCTTATGTTGGGCCCGAGTATGCAAAAGACAAGATGTAATAGTTACGTCCGAAAAAAAAAGAATCATTTTGACTTGGATGGTTTTACAATATCGGATCCCTACTAGAAGTAATTTGACTAATCCGAGTATTGACTTGGATTCTTTTATATGCACTTCTTGTGATGTTGAGATTGAAGAAACGCCTCGTTTGTTTTTGTCGTGTGATGTTGAGGTGCCAACTAGGTCAATGGGTGAACTTGCTTATTCCTCAATTTCGATTGACCTCAAACTTATTTTTTGGAGTGATAATCGGCCTATGTCTAATATGAATCAGTCTTGGAAGCTATTTTTATGATGACGATATGAAGCCCTTTGGAGGTACCATAATGGTGCGGTGTTTGGCTTCAACAAGTTTCGCAAGTCTAATTTTTTATTTTTATTTATTATTATTATTATTTTTTTACCATAAACTAGAAATCAATTGGATTTTGTGGTTGCATAACCCTCTTTGGCTATTTACTTTGTAATTATTTATTTTTTCTACTAGCTTCTTGCTAAGCCTTTTTATAATATTTAGCGTTTCCAAAAAATATTATAGAATAAATACCTACAAATAAAAAAAATAGTGTTCTATTTTCATCTTACAGGCCTGAGATGGGTTTGGAATCGACCTTCACTATGTTTTATTTTATTTTTTTTAAATATACTTTTTGCATAATCACTAACATATAGTAAGTTTGATTCTGGTATCATTTGCTTTTAAGATTTTATAAGTGAAATTCTAAAATTGTAGTAAATATATATGCTTCTTTTTATTTATAGGAGCTGTATCAATTATTGAATGAACTTATGCTATACTTTAAGAAAACATAATATATACAAATATGTAGAAATTTGTTTCAAGGATACCCTTTTAAAAATGTATTGAAGGACTACAGCTAATCTTTTATCGCGAGCCTAAAGCGGCTGGTATATGTGTATTCTGTAGAATATAATAACTCTAGGGCCCATCAAAACATGTTTTTCGTACCTTAAACACCACATGCTTTCATTTTGTAAAACATTTAAACTGTTGATAATAAATAAAAGCATGTAATCATAAACAACATTTACACCACCACTCATAAAGTCGAAAGCTCATCATATATGCTTTAGGTACACAATCATGCCCACCGGAACTAGTACTAAGGAGATTCTTAAGTCATATGTATATGTATTAAGAAAAGTTATTCATTAAAATTTACAATGAAGAACTACTTTGTGTTTGAAGAGGATCACATCTTTTTAGTATTTGTAAAACGGACTATGATACACAATAAAACCTTTTCTCACATCTGCCATTGATTGTTGGGTTCATTGATGGTGTGACAAAGGAAACATATCGGTAGGGCTGTAAACGAAACGAACGAACACGAACGGGGTGTTGTTCATGTTCGTTCATTTAAGTTAGCCGAACAAATAAACGAACACGAACGGATAGATGAATGAGTTTTCTTGTTCATGTTCGTTTGTTTAGCAAATTACATTGTTCATGTTCGTTCGTTTATGTTCGTGAACATGTTAAATGAACATAAACAAACGAACATAGATAAACAAACATATATGAACATAAATGACAATATAATATAGTAATGTAATCAAATATAGTTAAGCATATATGAACATAAAGGAACTTATATGAACGAACATAAATGAACGTAAAACGGATAACATTAACGAATGTTCACGAACATAATTGAACGAACGAGATTGTTCATGTTCGTTCGTTTAATTAAACGAACAAAAATTGGTGTTTATGTTCGTTCATTTATTAAATAAATGAACTTTCCACCGAACGGTTCACGAACAATTCATTGAACGTTCAATTAGTTCGTTTACTGCACTACATATCGGTATCGTGGAGGTGTGGAACATTATCCCTGAACTGTCATTGTAATAATCAATAATCATTGTAAAGATAGTACTAAATTTTTCGATAATCAACAGGCAAATCTATTACATGTATTTTACCAAACAAACAAATATTGCAATGGAAAATATGAAAATCACAATTATCATGACTAAAAACAACCCAAGTAAGATAAAACTTATAAATTTCCAATTCTTAAAGCTTCAAACTATCAATTTTGTTCTTCTCCAACCCCATTTCCTTAAGTTAAGACTCAGTTATCATTTGACGCATCGTGTATTTCAAGAAACAAATATTTGTAACTTTGTACAATGAGTTCCCCATCTATCCATATGAACTATTTATTTATAATCTTTCCTATAGTCTTATATAAAGATATCACGTTAAACATATCTGAAATTAGTTTTTTTGTCCATTACACTTCCCACCTAGTCAATTTGAACATAAACATTAACATTAGTGCATCCCAAAAAGATTCGATCAAGATTGAACGAGAGTCCATGGCGTAAAAATGAAAACTTTGATTACTATTTTGATCAACCTCGTCCTCATTCTACAACTTGATACAAATGATGAAAATGTCATTAAGAAGAAGAAGATAGAGAACGCCCGAGTATGAACCTGCTACTTTAGAATACTAATGTAAATTATGATGCCTCACAAACATCTCAAGGGTCCACCGCAAAAAAATGTTTCATGGTCAATTAGTCAAAGGCAAATACATAACCACGAAGTTTTTGCTGAATTGGTGAGGTGTATATATATATATATATATATATATATATATATATATATATATATATATATATATATATATATATATATATATATATATATATATATATAGAGAGAGAGAGAGAGAGAGAGAGAGAGATTCAAATGTTTCTTCGTATGCTACATTACATCAATAAGAATTTAGTAAAAATTAAATTATTATTTAATTTAATAAAGATAGATATTCAATGATTTTCATATATATATATATATATATATATATATATATATATATATATATATATATATATATATATATATTAATTGATATCTATAATTATAATTCTTTTCTTTATGGAAAATAATTAAATTCGTCATTAATATCAACAATAATATTATTTTTAAATAAATACATATCAAGTAAAATGAGATTGTATTCTAGTAGAATGAGAGTGTATTATATACCAGAATACATTCTTGTTCTTCATATTCCATGCAACTTTATTATATTTATGAGTATGTCCTGAAACAAAACACGAATCGATACATAAAAACCTAAATATGAATTCATTCTGAAAGAATGTTATCGCTGACATTAATGAAGAATTTTATTA